TCCGCCCTGTGAGGCAGCGTTTTTCCGGTGGGCCCGCCACAGCCTGCAGTTTTCTGGGTGGGAAGGTTCTAATGTCAAATTCAGTCTTTAGTAAATACGAGGCTGTTGGAGTTTCTAGTTCTCGAGCCATGTCCACTCTAAACTGTCTGGGATAAAGTCATTCATAAAGGGGGACCCAGCCTCTGGGCGAGGTCCCGGGAGAGAGCCAGGGACAACTGGGCCCTCCCTCCTGGGTGTGAGTCGCCCTCGTGAGGTGGGCCCCGAACCTGGAGCTGCCCTGGCCAGCACCGCTGGGATCAGCCGGCCCCTGTGAGCGCACTCAGGCTCCCTCGGGTTCGTTACGTGTGACGAGACTGCGAGGGTCCTGCAGGGCGAGCTCGGCCGTGGGGTCCAGACAGAACCCTCCAAGCCTCTGAGGGTTCAGGAGCCGCCACACGTCTCGCTCCCTCTGGGTTCCCATTCGGCCTGGCCATCCAGACACCACGCCCCCAGCTCGACCGAGACGGCCATCTTCCTCTGCCTCCACTGGGCTCTGCCGGGCAAGGCCTTGGGCTGCCAGCACACGCAGGGTCTGGTCCCCGTGGGCCGAGTTGGCCCCTCGTGGCTCAGACAGTGTCGGGTAGAGGGCAGCCAGGGCATCCCTGCCCTGAGGGTCTGGCTCATGGCATTTCCCGGGACCAGGGCCGGGGGAGCTGCCTGACCCTGTGTGTTGTGGGAGGCCGTGCCGTGTGGAGCAGAGAATGGGCACCACGTCCTGGGACCCCAGGAGCGACAGGCTCATCACTGTGGACGAAGGGCCAGCGTCCATCAGCCGGGGAGCCGCTGACAAGGCCCCGGGCCCCACCAGTCCATGTGTGGGCCGTGCGGGGCCCTCGGGTGATGTGGTTGGTTAGACCCTGAGGCTATCCAGCCAGGGAGGCCACGTCACCGGGGAGGGGCGGTCAGCCAGTCCGTAAGAGTGGCCAGGCTGCCTGCCCGTTGTGGGCGTCGTGGAAGGAGAGGGTGGGGCGGGGGCCAGTGGCCTGGAGGAGGCTGCCCACCCTGCAGAGGTCTGAGGGGAGGAGGGCACCGTGTGCTGGCTGGGAGAGCAGTGCTGGGGCGGGGGCCGTGCTCGGGTGTGAGCCCACACCCAGCCGAGTGGCCAGGAGGTGGACGCACGGCAGAGGGCCGGCTGCTCAGGTGCAGGCTGCTGTGGGGGGCAGCCTTTCTCTCGGGCCTTTCTCAGGCTGCTGCTCTGGGAGGTCCGGGCAGTGGAGGATGGCCAGGTGCAGTGTGGACGCCAAGTCGAGCGGGGGCTGGACTCAGGCGTGGCCCCGGGAGCTGACAGGGCGGGCACGCTCGGGGCAGGGAGCAGGTCAGCCGCAGCGAGTGGGGGCCACAGGAGCCTTTCCACTCGTGGGGGGCTCCACGCGGAGGAAGTCGAGGCTTCGAGCGCTAGGCGGTCCAGAGTGTCCTGGCTCCTCTCGGGGGGAGCGTCGCACCTGTGAGCAAGGCGCCTACACAGGCAGGCCCAGGCTCTGTCAGCTGGCTTTGCAGGTTGCAGGGAGCACGTGCAGTTCCCTGGGCCCTGGTCCTCGGGACACCCAGCTCCTTCACCACGCCACCCCAAAACTGACGCGTCCTGGCATGCTCCTCAGCACAAGACGGCCCTCGCAGCCGCAGCCACTGCTTCCTCTGTCCCGGGGGTTTCCCTGATCCAGAACTAATGTCATGGGGCCCTCGGGGCCTGGCTGCTGTGCGCAGCTCTGCACTGCCAAGGTGTACCTGCTGTGGTGCGTGTGTTGTGCTCGTGTCACCTGGCTCCGCGATGTCCCTTGCATGAACCCAGCTCACGCTGCGTCTGTTCTCAGGTGTGGGCACCGGGTTGTTCTAACCGCATTGCTGTGAGCACGGTACTCGGGTAGGCCTAGGAGCGAGCCCCGGGCCACGACGCAGCACTGCATCCATGTCTGAGGAACCTGCTGCTCCCAGAGTGGCCGTGCCGCTTACTGCAGGGCCTGCCGTCGGGGTATGAGAGGACTTCAGAAAGCCGGTCTGGAGCGGAAGTCGAGAAGACGTTTATTTTAGAGCAAACGTTTTTGGAATTCATGCATAGTTTTTCCGTAACACACTTTCTCACACTTTGGAAAACCACTCGCGTGCACCGCCTCTCCGCATCCCGGCGCTTGTCCGTGTTCACTGCGGTGGCCCGGTGGGTACGGGGCGTGCAGCGGGCCTCACTGAGACCCGGCCTCCGCCACCGTCAGTGACGTGGGCGCTCATCACTCGGCCATCGCTCTTTGTGGCAACGCCTGCTCGTGGCTCTGCCCAGTTTTCAGCCCACTCACCTCCTTCACGCGAGAGGGCACCTCTTCCCAGCCAGCCGGGCGTGGGCACCTGGTCTGCCCCTGAAACCCAGGTCGGAGCCCGCAGCCCCAACCCCAGGGCTGGGCGCCTCTGCTCACGTTGAAAAGCGGGTGCCTTTACCGGAAGGTTCTCGCCGAGGCTGCGTGGCGGCCTCGTCAGCCGTGTGACGCGCGAGTCCCCCACTGTGATGGCCTTTTCGTTGACTTTGCCGATGTCGTCCGCACAGCAGTTCCCAGGGTCAGTTACGTCCCACTTACCGACTTCTCTTTAGTCACGTGCGTTTCGGTGACTTACCGAAGACGCCATCGCCTCCCCTGCACCTGTCTCCCGCACGTCTCCCGGTCCGAGCACTGTGTTGAAGGCCCTGGCCCGTCCCGGTCGGTGTGCAGACTGAATGAGGTGGGCCCAGCTCCGCGCTTGGGCATGTCACCATCGCATCTGACTGTCTGCCCCGCGCTGCCCCGGCAGCCTTGTTGAAAGTCGGCCATCAGGATCGTGTGGGGACTTGTGCTCCTGGTCCCCGCCACACCTGTGTCTATCCTGCCAGGACCAGGCTTATTCTGAAGCTTCGGGATGCACACAGCCTGGGCCTCCCTGCACGGCCATCACTCCCTGGCGGCACCAGGACGGAAGCCGCGTCTCGAGCGCTGTCCCACTCCCCGCCTGCTGCCTTCTAGGTGTTCTGCTCCCACGGCCCGACAGTGATCATGCCCACCTGGTTCTGCTCGAAGGCGTGGTTTTCCCACGTGGGCCCCTTCGATGAGGGGGGTCAGGTGAGTGCAGAAGGTGGGTGGGCCCTCCCTCTGGGTGGAGGAGGCCTCCCTGATGCTGCCCAGTGTCAGCGTGGCGGGGGGACTCCGGGGATGCAGAGGATCCCTCCTGGGTGGGCCCGGCCACCTGTGCTGATCTGCAAGACCCAGGAGACCCCATCTTGGTGGAGGGCCGCCTGGGGACACACAGGGTCATGATGTGCACAGGCTGCCCCCAGGTGATGGCCCTGGTGTTGGAGAGGCCTGGCTCCTTCCTCTGTATCTCACCACCCATTGCTGGTGGGCGCGGCCGAGCCCGGCCTTCCTGGCCTCGAAGTGGCCCGTCCCCAGCTGGCCAGCCTGCCCTCCTGAACAGTCTAGCTAATGCTTTAGGGTTAGTGGGTGGGTTTCTTCCCTCATTCGTCTCTCGAACCGTCTGGGCCCAGGGCACCCATCCGGAGGTGGCGGCTTGCGTGCGTGCTCTGGAAGGCTAAAAGCCAGCGTTTGTTGGGAGCCGAGCCATGAGCTGCTGGGAGCAGGGGGTGGACAGGGTGCAGGTGTGACACCGCCACATCTCGTAGCCTGAGGAGCAAGAGGTGGGACTGGGATACCCTGGCCTGGCCGCCGGGATCTGCCTGAGGGACCACCCCCATCCGGGGGACCGTGCCCCGGGCTGCATCCAGGCACGTGCTGCTCGACCCTGACCCTCACTCTGGCTCTTGGCGGCACCGCGGTGACCAGCTGTTGACCCCAGGAGCAGACGGTCGGCACCCCGCCACCATGCAGCTGTCACGGGGTGCGAGTGCGGGGCTCAGTCGGCATCTGTCTTCGAGGCCGAGAACTGGCTGTCCCCGCTGATCGCCGGCCGTGTGGCCCTGGACCACCACACCCTTCCTTAGGCCTAGCCTTCTGCCCTGCGCTGCAGTGGGTGGAGCCCCAGTGCAGACCCCGTCTCCTGCCCAGCCCGTTTCAGGGCTGTTGAGGACACGGATGCTATCCCACGTCCCTCAGTGCCACAGGCCGCTGCGTCGCTGTCGAGCCACTGAACTGAGGCCTGTGGGCGTCCCCTCGGGTCAGGGGCACAGGAGGGCGGCATCCCAGGAGGACCCGGCAGCCCCACGTCTCGCCCACAGGGAGTCCCCGAGGACCTGCTCTTCTTCTACCAACACCTCCGGCGGGGCGGCGGGGTCGTCCGTGTGGACCAGACCCTGCTCCTCTATCGCTACCACCCGCACGCGGCCACACACGCCGTGCTCGAGTAAGTGGGCCGTGCTCACTCCTGAGGCCTGGCGGTCCAGGCAGGGGGTGGCAGACGTGGGCGCGGCGGCTGGGGCTGGGCAGCGAGGGCAGGGGCGCCCCACGTCCCGGCTGTGGCCTCTCCTTGGTGGGGAGGCCTGGTGGGCGACGGTTGCACGTCCTGAGCCTCACTCCCGGCTGCTCTAACCG